CATTTCCATTTTTGGAGTTAGAGAAGGATCTACAAGGCCAATAAAAAGTTGTGGGACTAGGTGTCTTGCACTATATATGACCCGGTAACCCATCAAATTTTTAATGACGTTTTTATTGTGCAACACATCTTTTTTTTTCAAAACATTTTGGTATGTTTTCAAAGACGCGCCGTTTTTATCAGTTTATTGTTTCATACTGATTGCACTTATTGCCTTATTTTTTTTTAGAAAATATCATGCAAACAGAAACTTGTAACTTTTATATAGCGAAGGTGATTATTTATCATGATAAATGATTGGTGTGCTTTTCATTGTTATTATTAATATTAACATCATTAGTTATAATAATAAAAAATGTCAGAGGCGCTAAAGACAACATAATTTCACCTTCACATACGAAAAACTGTACGCGTTTTGGGCTCTTTGGAAATGCAAAACAACTTGATACGCAACAGTTATCAGACGTAAACTTATATTTAAGTCATTTCAATCATTCTTCTGGTTCCTAACATGATTTAAGGCAAACATGACTTGCGTTCCCCAAATGTTATGATGATGCTGTTGTATATGAAATTGAAATGAATTTCACACATACAACATGGCTAAACTTCAGGGGGGGTGCTTAGCTCTGAAGTTTGTGAATTTGCATCATTGTCAAGGAGATGTATTAAAGCCAGTGGCACCAACAATTTGTTTATTTCACCAACAACAATCAATGAAGTGACCAACTTGGAAATTGCTAACAACAACTCTATCAAGCCAATAGGATGGCTCTTCAAAATGACCAGTGCTTGAGTTGTGGATTATAACTTTTCTGGATCTTTTTAAATTACCTTGGCAGCTGGTAATTAATAATGACAGTTGTTTTGGTGACAACATTGGCTAAAAATCCTTCTTGTCCAAAGCCTTCAAACATACCCGTGGCTCAACCATGTAAAACATTTCATGGCGTGAAGGCGTGCGAAAGCATGGTCGTTGTATGCTTGTAATAGGAAAACTTATTAAATCTGACACTTGTGATCAATATCATCAGATTTATTCATGATTTTTAAAGAACTAATAGTACCTAGTCCAAGGGAAGATAGAGTTACTTATTATTTATTGATAAACCCTAGAGACATACATTAAAAGTTTTACTTCTGCATGGTCTTGGTATCATTATTACTCGGGTGATGCAATTGTTTGTTATGCCAATAGACACATCTAACAGTGGGTCATGCATAAAAGAAAGAATTAAATAGTAATAAAAAGCTAAGTCATGTTTGTTATTTTATTTTTATTTTAATCATCATAATCAATCAATTATATTTAAAATATATGATAAAAAATAGCCAGTACAATCACATGGAATCCAAGAATGCACCACCAATATTATTTGAATACATTTGTAATTTTACTGAAAGGAATAATAGGTTTGTACATGATTTAAAATTTTTTTGTGTTAATTTAGAGTCACATCTTTCTTCACATATAATATATTTTATGGATAGCATTTTATTTTATTTTTTTTGAATAAGGGAAAACAATTACACATAAATTCATATTTATTTAAAGCATATATATTTTTAAATTTAATAATTTAATAGCAGTGAAATAAGATTTAAATTGAGTCAATACTTTTCTTTTGAAAATTCAAAAGATACAAATTATGGTTCTTTTCTAAAATATTGAAGTAATGATACATATATATTATTTTATATATAATTTTTTATGCGGATGGGAAATCTGTACACAATAATAAAAAAATAAAAAGGAAAAATATCCGGCAACTCTTTTTTCCCAGTGGCTAAAATTTTTTAAAGGAAAACCCAGATTTTTAAAGTACTATTTCCAGCCCTGAATCACAACTATTAGTAGCTAACTAAATAAGATAAAATAATAAATAATTTTAATACATAATAAAATGACAAGATTCAGCTGGTAGACTCAATTCAATTTGTTTAGAATCTGTTAATTCAAATTTGTTTAGAATCTGTTAATTCAATTTGTTTAGTATCTATAAAAATGTTATTGTAAAAGTGAATATTAATAAATATCAAACTAATAGAAAGTATGTTCGTAAATCACTATTACTATTACTATTTCACAATATGTAAATTCGAAAGATGATGATACATTTATTTAATGTTTACACTAATACAATAATATAATTTAGCAAGGAATTGTTTAATGACAGTGAAAGATAATTTTGAGATATTTCCCACAAAATTAAAACCGGTTTTATTAAATTCGGTTTAAAACCGTTTCCAACATCTAGTAGTACTCGAATTTATTATTATTATAGTTTTTCAATAGGACTGATTCCAGTATCAATTTTTTGGTGTGACAAATTTTGCCCATATAAAGAAGTTTATTAATTAAAATTTTTTCCTGTGAAAAAAATATATAATTCCTTTTTAGGAAGAACTAAAGGAAAATTCAAAATACTTGGTTTGATGTTAAATTCGCCATGTTAAAAGTAGTTGGCACAATAACCTTACCATAACGCCATGATGTTTTGAGGCATGTGGCCAAACATAGTGTCTTTCCTAAGCATCTAACTAATTGATGGATGTTAATAATCATTATTTTTTTTTCGTTTATTTACAAAGTGTTAAAGTTTATATATACAGTACCTAGACAAAAGAATCGGAATGCATGTTTTTGTTAATTACGTAAAAACATACATATCAACAACATATTAAATTTATATCATAAGTAACTTAGGTTATGTTAAACCTTCATGTAGAACTTAATGTTTCAAGCTTTTGTACAGCTCGAGTAATAACAATAATAAAATTTCAATCAAAACTCAATTGACCTAAAATTTTTTTTAGTATTTTTTACTAATTATTCAAAAGCCTATACAATAATACAATTTGAAATTTTAATATGTAAAAGTACAAGTCCTGCTAGTTCACATAATATAATTTTTATCACATGTTTTTGTTTACTTTTTTTTTTAAACCAAGTTTTAAAAATTCGATTTTTTAAAAAATCATAAAAAAATCAAAATTTTTTTAAATTTTAAATTAAAAATGCGTGATTTAACTGAAGCAGAGCGCGGAGAAATAATTGGTCTATATAAAAGTGGTGCCACATATAAAAGTATTTCTAAAGAACTTGGCTTTCCTATTACAACTGTTTTTAGAACTGTAAAAAACTTTAAAGAAAGGAAAAGTGTGTCAAATCTACCAAAAAGTGGACGGCCAAAAATTTTGAACACCAATCACCAAAAAAAATTAAAAAAAATCGTAAGACAAGGCAATCGTAAATCAGCCGAACAAATTAAAGATGAGTTTAATGAGAAAACCAATTTACAAGTTTCTACAAGAACAATTAGAAGAAGTTTGCATGAACTTAATTTTTTTTCTCGTGTCCCTGCAGCCAAACCTCTCATTAATGAAGTACAAAGACAAAAACGTTTAAACTGGTGTCTAGATAAAAAAGATTGGACTATTAGAAAGTGGAAAAATGTCATTTGGAGTGACGAGAGTAGATTTACATTGTTTAAAAATGATGGCCCAGGTCGTGTATGGAGAAAACCTCAAACGAGATTTCATATTGAAAATCTTCAGCCGACAGTGAAACATGGTGGTGGTGGTATAATGGTATGGAGTTGTTTTTCAGGCAAAGGATTAGGGCCACTCGTGAAAGTTGATGGGAAAATGAACAGGCATGACTACATACAAATTCTCCAATCAAATTTGGTCCCTTTAATCAATGACAAATTTAATAGGCGAGGGTATTTATTTCAAGATGATAACGCCCCTGTTCACACTGCCAAAGATGTTCAAGAATGGTTGAAAACAAACAAAATCAAGATGTTAGAAGATTGGCCAAGTCAATCACCTGACCTAAATCCGATTGAGCATCTGTGGCATGAGCTGGAAATTCGTCTTCGAAATCGTCCTAATAATTTAAAAAATCTTAAAGAACTTGAACATGCATTGGAGGAAGAGTGGAATAAAATTCCTCAAAAGGTTTTTGAAAATTTGATTGAAAGTATGCCACAGAGAATTCAAGCTTGCATTAGAAGTAATGGATGGCCAACTAAATATTAACTGTAGATAATCATTAATAAGAGGTTTAGTTAACGACAAATAAAATTTCAAAATGTGAAATTTTTGTGATCATCAAATTTTAATTTGTAGTTTTTTTTTTTCTATTTCTTGAGCTATATAAGGGCTTGAAACATTAAACTTCACACGAAGGTTTGACATAACCTAAGTTACTTATGATATAAATTTAATATGTGGTTATTATGTATGTTTCTGCGTAATTAACAAAAACGTGCATTCCGATTCTTTTGTCTAGGTACTGTATA